TCCTGAGTTCTTACTGAGTTGGTGAAAATCCCACATACAGATTCTTGGAGGTTGTCTTCATTGATCCATTCCATAAAACTATCAGTAGAAATCCTGACACCCACTGGATTACCTAACCAGTCCACGAGCATAGGGAGATGGGTGGATTGACACCTGCAGGCTGCAAGAGTCGTCACCTTGGAAAGGGCCACACATTCCCTACTATACTATTGGTGGTTCTTGCTTTGCAGCTTGGAGAAAGCCCAATACTCTCTAACTCAATCATTACTGCTAATATAAGTAATGTCTGTAAAATGCATACCTATAAACAATTTAGGATAGTCATGTCTGCTTAAAAGTGTTATTTGACTGTCATGTCTTCATAAAAGTGTTATCTGGAGGGACCAGCAGTTGGCATAATGGTTATGTCGCTGGACTCCCATGTAGTCGACCACAGTTCAAGTCCTGGACCCAGTGACTTAAACTCATACCAGGCACGCATGTGCGCGTGCCCAGGATCCTAAGAGGAGAATGGAGGAGAAGGGATTGCGGCATGGCGATCCCCCCCGGGGGCTGATTTCTCACTTTCTGTTTCTCTTTCAGGTGAGTGCACGCACCCTATAGCAAAAACCTCTCAAACAAACAAACAAACAAACAAAAAAAAACCAGTGTTATCTGGGACCAGAACATGACATAATGGTTACATCACTGGACTCCCATGTAGTTGACCGCGAGTCAAGTACCAGACTTGGTAGCTTAAAACTCACACCTTTTACAGCAAAATAAATAAATAAATAAAAACCATTAAAGTAAAAAACAAAAACAAAACAAAACAAAGCAAAAATACTCACATCAGGAGCGTGCATGCCCAAAATCCTGAGAGGAGAATAGAGAAGGGATTGTGGCATGGCCATCCTCCCGGGATGTTGATTTCTTACTTTCTGTCTTTTTGTGTGTCTCTGTCTCTCCAGTGAGTGCACATGCCCTATAGCAAAAATTTCTCTTATATAATAATAATAATAATAATAATAATAAAGTAAATAAAAGCATTATCTGTGGGCCCAGCAGGTAGTGTAGTGGTAAAGGTGTTGGACTTCCACATGGCTGACCATAGTCTGAATCCCAGACCTGGCAGCTTGCTTTCTCACTTTTTCTCTTTTTCTCTGGTGAATTAAAATAATAATAATAATAATAAATAAAATTAAGTAAACAATTATTTTTTTTAAATCCAAGGAGGAGAAGGGATTGTAGCATGGTCTCCCCCTCCCCCCCAGGAGTAATTTCTCACTTTCCCTTTCATGTTCTCTCTCTGGCTAGAACACCCTTTGATAAAAACCTTTTAAAAAAAGTTATTTGTCTATTAAACAAGAGTTCAGGTTCTTTCATAACATTGTGTGGAATTATGGAAGTTTATGGATCATTTTAAATCCAAGGAGGAGAAGGGATTGTAGCATGGTCTCCCCCTCCCCCCCAGGAGTAATTTCTCACTTTCCCTTTCATGTTCTCTCTCTGGCTAGAACACCCTTTGATAAAAACCTTTTAAAAAAAGTTATTTGTCTATTAAACAAGAGTTCAGGTTCTTTCATAACATTGTGTGGAATTATGGAAGTTTATGGATCAGCAGATGGTGTAATGGTTACTTCGCTGGACTCCCATGTAGTCAATCATAGTTTGAGTCCAGGACCCGCCAGCTTAAAACTCATGCTAGATGCATGTGCATACATGCCCAAGATCCCAAGATCCTAAGAAGAGAATGGAAGTGAAGGGATTGCAGTGTGGCTACCCCTCCTTGGGGTCGGGAAGGAGTTCTCACTTTTTGTCTCTCTGGTAAGTGCCCATGCCCTATAGCAAAAATCTCTCTCTGAAAAAAAAGAAATGAAAAGAAAGTTCAAGTTTTGGCCAGCAGGTGGCATAGTGGTTAAGGCACTGAATTCCCACATGGTTTACCATGGTTTGAGTCCTGGACTTATTGTCTTGAAAATCATGTTGGGCACATGTGCATGGGTACCCAAAATCCAAAGAGGAGAATGGAGAAGAAGGGATTGTAGCATGGCCATCTCCCTGAGGGCTGATTTCTCACTTTCTATCTCTTTCTGGCAAGCTCACATGTCTTATGGCAAAAACCTAAAAAAGAGATTTTTTTTTTTTTGAGACGTTTTCACTATAGGATGCATGCGCTCGCCAGACAGACAGAGAGAAATAGAGACAGAAAGCGAGAAATCACCCCCTAGGGGGGATGGTCACGCCACAATCCCTTCTCCTCCATTCTCTCGGGATCTTGGGCACACACGCACACGCGCCCGGCGTGAGTTCTAAGCCACCGGGTCCAGGATGCGAACCGTGGTTGACTATGTGGGAATCCAGTGACATAGCCATTACACTAACTGCTGGTTCCCAAAAAGAGATTTTCAAATAGTTACCTGTAACACTAATTTGTGACTATTACAAAGCCACAGGCTACATTAGGGGAGAAGAAAAAGAATGATTCTCTCTCTCTCTCTCCCTTTCTCTCTTATTTATTTATTTATTGGTTTTGGTTTTTGTCTTTTTTTCTTTTTTTTATTTTATTTTATTTTTTTTTTCGGAGAGGTTTTTTCGCTATAGGGCACGTGCACTCGCCAGACAGAGAGAGACAGAAAGCGAGAAATCACCCCCCGGGGGGATGGTCACGCCGCGATCCCTCTCCTCCATTCTCCTCTCGGGATCTTGGGCATGCACGCACATGCGCCCGGCGGGTCCGGGACGCGAACCACAGTCGACTACGTGGGAGTCCAGCGACATAGCCATTACGCTAACTGCTGGTTCCCTGTCTTTTAAGGTTTTTGCCATAAAGCTTGTGCCCTCACCGGAGAAACAGAGAGAGGGAAAGTGAGAAATCAACCACCCTGGGACGTTGGTCATGCCTCAGTCCCTTCTCCGTTCTCCTCTTGGGATTTTGGGAACACACACACACACACACACACACACACGTACCTGGCATGATTTTATGAACCACCAGTTTCTGGATTCGAACCGTTTTTGGCCATGTGGCAATCAAGTGCCTTAACCACCACACAACTTGCTGGCCCCAGGTTGGCTGTTTAAAAGTACATCATAGCTCTGTCCAGTCAGTCTTTTAGTTATCTTAGGTCAACCCACTTTACTACTCCCATCAAATCTACTGAGAAAAGTCATAGCTGGTGTCAATACAAGATCATGGTTTCCAGTCTAACCTTACATTTTGTCGCAGTTATTTTTCTCATCCTTGGTCAAATTGTTAGAATTCTTACATTCCACAATGTTGAGCCATCAGTTGTGTGCCCACCTTAATTTTAAGCCTACTACCATATTGTGTTGCATTTATCTTTGCATCATGTTTTCCAGTGGACCAGGCTACTGTTCCCTAGGTAAACTGAAATGTGAAAGAAATAGGAAGGAATTGCCCAGGTTCTTTTCCCATTGTGGCAAGTAATATTGGGTTGTCAGTATAGTCATGACATGTTTTTGCATAGAAAAACATAGAAAATACTCTTGACTTTCCTGACAACCTAATAGTTTGATTTCAAAAATCTAGCTGGTTTGCCAGAACCAATTTTATCTCCAATTTTCTGTAGGGTTTTCAAAGCACTCAGTTAATTTCCAGAAAATAGAGCCAACTCACAAAGATTCTTGAATCCTAAATTCCTTTTTACTCAAAAAATGTCTTCTATCATATATTTTGATTATGCATAGAGGTTGTTCAACAGAAGGAATAAGTTTCTATTAAACTAAAACAGATTGTGTTAGCAGTAAGTTTTTAACATTAAGCCACTGACTTAATTTGTCTACTGAATTCTGTTATTGATGTATACATGCAGAACAATTATATCTCAATAAAGGATCATGAAATTAACATACTCTTATAACCACTATCCGTATCAAGACAGAAAATTACCGGAACCTTGAAATCTCTCTTATCCCTTCTCCTAATCACTCCCACTTCCCTCTTCCCCAGAATAAACAATATCCTGATTTCAAACAACATAGATTGTTTTGCTTATATATGAACTCTAAATTTTTTTTAATGGAGACATGTGGTATATTATTCTTTGGGACCTGGATTTCCCTGTCATCATTAGGTATTGGCATCCACCTTTGTTATTAGTAGCATAGCAGTAGTTCTTTTCTTTTTCTTTTTTTAAAGACAGATTTTTGCTATAGGGTGCGTGTGCTTGCCCAAGAGATAGAGAGAGACAGAGAGACAGAAATCATCCCCCTGGGGGATGGCCACACTGCAATCCCTTCTCATCTGTTCTTCTCTCAGAATTTTGGGCACTCATGCACACGTGCCCTACATGAGTTTCAAGCTACCGGGTCCAGGACTTGAACCATGGTCAACTATGTGGGAGTCCAGTGATGTAACCATTACACCATCTTCTGGTCCCAGTATTGTATGTTTTTAAAAATATTATTAGAGATGGTATTTAAAAAATATTTTCTAATTATTACTTGTACTATTGTAGAAATATTTTTATGTATTTAAAGTATGTTTTTAACCATGATTTTATGAGATTAAGGAGTGTGTGTATTAAGAATCATTTTGTATTCAGATCATCACAGAAATACTAGATTAGTGGAGAAAAGTAAAGTTGGCTTAATACAAGGTTGTTATCTTAGAAAATTCAAAACACAACCAGGAGGAGCTTGTTCCTGAACTGTGTGATTTCTTTGTTGGTTGCTTGAGACTGCCTAGGGCTTCCTTTCTCAGAACTCAGCTAATATGATTGGAATTTGGAATGTTGGTTGCTGTTTTTTCTTCTGCAGATATCCTGAGCCCTTTCCTAGTCAGCCCACATCTGGGAGCAAACATGGAACAGGAGGGAATCTAAGGGAATGGAGATTCCACTGCCCTCTGGCTGTTTTTGAACTTGCAGGCTTCTCTCACTCTAAACTTTCCAAGAATTAAGGGGTAAACCCACCCCCATTGTCAGGCATTGCAGGTGTCCTGAAATGATGATGACTGTACCTGTTTCCTTAAACTCATACCTGCTTTGTTTTTCTAGGTCTATAAAGGAGAATTTCAACTACCTGACTTTCTTAAAGAAAAACCCCAGGTACTGTATCTGCTTCCTCTTCTTGATGGGCTCTTGCAATGAACTAATCTTTATAAAGACACAATGAAATAAGAAAGACAAAAGCAAGAAACTAGAATTAAAAAATAAAGAAAAAAAGAGATAATGATATGTGTTGGTGGTAGAAAGATTGGCCTCTGGTACTTGTTGATTTTAACCTTAATTTAATAGTCTTAATTTCAGAGAGTTCAGTGTCTTTCAAAATTAGCAAAATACTTGACTTATAATTAAAATCCAATTGCTTGAGGTCACTCACAAGCCACAGTATTCCACATATAAGGGAGTCTTGGTTATTCTGTTCTAGCCTTATGTTACTTAATTTGAAATTAGTATGTATAGCTACCCTCTTTGATGTTCTTAAGACATATATAGTCATGGCCTTTTGACATTTCTCATTTAGAACCTAGAGGACTTGTGAATATATTAAGTATGCAGCCATTGGCCCTTGAGAAAGATGGTGAGAGTTTGAAGCTTATAATTTTTACTCTATAAAAAATTAATTCAAGGGCCAGCCCTGTAGTGCAGTGGTTAAACCCTACACATAGAGAGCAGGATCCCATATGGCTGGTTGTGTTTCAAATCCTAGCCCTGGTGGCTTGTAAAACACTCTGGGTTCATGTGCATAAGTGCTCCAAATCCTGACAGGATGGAGAAATGGAGGAGAAAGGAGTTGCTTTCCCTCTCTCTCTCTCTCTCTCATAGGCACACATAACCTCTGGCAATAAAAAATAAAAATAGGGGCCAGCAGGTGATGTGGTGGTTGGGGCACTGGACTCCCACATGGGCCCCTGTGGTTCAAGTCCTGGACCTGGCAGCTTGCTTTCTTTTTTTTCCTTTCACTCTCTATCTCTCTCTGGTCAAATTTAAAAAATAATAATAATAATAACAAATGGAATTAAAAAAATAATTAAATATTCTAAACATAAAAATAAAATAAAAATAATTCAAACCAATCTAGAGTTATCTCTGTAACATCACACTCCTATTTGCATTCCAGGATTGTTGATTGAGTTGGAGAGAAACAGAGTGTTATGGCTGACATGCCTAGAGTAGCCCGAAGAGTGTCCTACGTCTGCATATCATCTGTCTCACCATAGAGTAGCTGGAAAAAATGAATAACCAGGGCCAACCAGTAACACGGGTTAAGGATCCCACTTGGCTGACCATATGGTTCGAGTCCCAGACCTGGTGGCTTGAGAAATGCCATGCATGTGTACATGTATGCCCAAAGTCCTGAGAGGAGGAAGAAGCAGAGAAGGGATTGCATTGTGGCATTCCCCATGGAGGATACTTTCTCTGTCTTGCTCCAGTGATTGCACATGCCCTCTGGCAAAATATGTTTTAGATGGATAACCAGTGCTTAAATGTGGCAGATTTCCCTTTGTAGCATAGTGATAAATGTTGCCTCCAGGCTGCTAGTATCAGTGATTAGCTTGTTAATAGGAAAACTCAATACTGCACTCGGTTTCTAAAAATGTTCCAGATATCAGTGGTGAGGGAAACATCACTCTTCAACTTGTGTGAAGTATTCCCTGAAACGAGCCTGGAATAAATGGGCTGCCCTCTCTGAGAAGCTGTCTTACTCCAGGTTTGAAGGCTCTGCCTTCCTTGATCCTTGTCAGGTAACGTCAGTGATCAAGAATTGATACATATTACTTGAGAGTTTTGAAGTACTTTTAAGGTATATCCCTTTTAGTACATGTTTAATATTCATCCGTTCATTCATTTCATTATTCAACAAGTGTTTACTGAGTGTCTATTGTGGTGAGAAATTTGAATAAGTCCTCAGGAGTCAGAGGGGTAGAAAAGATCTCAAGGAACTCCTGATCTATCGGAAAGATTCTGATCAACTCATATAGACAAGGGGGTGCAGGGCCCTGTGTGAAAACTTACAGAAACCCAGGTAGATTAATGAACAGACTGTCACTTATTTAGGGCTGTGGAAATTGGATCCAGAGAATAATCTAACAGGCAGTCTTGAAGAAATATTAAACCCAGGGGCCCGCAGGTGGCGTAATGGTTATGTTGTTGGACTCCCACACGGCCAACCACAGTTCAATTCACGACTTGAAAATCACTCTGGGCACATGTGTGTATGTGTGTATGGCCAAGATCCGAGGAGGAGAATGGACTAGAAGGGATTGTGGCATGGCCATCCCCCCAGGGGGTGATTTCTCATTTTCCCTCTGTCTCTGTCTCCCTCTCTCTTCAGCAAGCGCAAGTACTGTATGGCAAAAAAAAAAGGGGGAGAAATATTAAACCCTAAAACTGGTTTATATAAGTATGAGAAAGAAATTTGATCCTGAAACTAAAAGGAACCCCTACTCACAGCATACACAAAAATAATTTCTGGGTAGATTATGTACTTAAATGTGAAAGGCAAGATAATGAAATTTTTAGAGAATAACAGAGATACTACATAATATGTTTATGACCTTAAGAAGGAAGGATTTCTCAAATCAGGAAAAAGACCAATCAATTTAAAGATGGATAATTTGGACTACATTAAAATTGAACATGTTTACTTATTAAAATATTATCAGAGAGGCCAGCAGGTGGCATGGTAGTTAAGGTGCTGGATTCTTACATGGCCAAAAATGGTTCGAGTCCCAAATCCTATGCTGAATCATGCCCAAAATCCCAAGAGGAGAATGGAGGAGAGGGGATTGTAGTGTGCCGTCCAAAAAAATCATTGGGGCCATCCAGTGGTATGATGGTTAAGGCAGATGGACCCCATAAGATTGACTGTGTGGATTGAATCCCAGGTCCAGCAGCTTGAAAACATGCCAGGTGTGCATGCGTGCCCAAAACCCTGAGAGGAGACTGGAGGAGTAGGGATTGCGGTGTGACCATCCTCCCTGGAGGAGGCTGAGGCAGCAAAGTTAGGATGTGGGGGCTTATGAAGGAGGGAGAAGGAATGCAGAAGGGAACAGCCAAAGCCCAAGGGACAGACAGGTCTCAAAATCAGACAGTTTTACAAGATTCTGCCCTGCCACCGGACAGAAAGAGATGGAAAGAAGGAATAAATGGGAGCAAGGCAAGTCAACCATGCTCTGACTATAGACCCTAAAAATACATACGTAAACCTGCAGCTGTGGACAGTTGAGCAGCTGGTCACATGAAGTGCACCTGATTCTACCCCAGTATACCTGACAGAGTAGCCCAACCCTAGTTGAAGGGGCCCTTGAACTGCCTTGCTCCAGCCCACTCCTAACCCTTTGGAAAGTATTCTTGCTAAATGAATCTGCTTGCTCTTCCGCTCTACTTTTGTGCTGCGTGCAATTCTTTGTCTATCTGTCTATCTGTCTCTCTCCATGTAGTGCACACGCCCTATAGCAAATTTTTTAAAAAAACATAAATGACTATAAAGAGTAAATAAAAAGTAAACTTTAAGGGGTCATCAGATGGCATGGTGGTTAGAGGCGCTGGATTCCTACATGGCCAACTGCAGTTCAGTCCTGGACCTGGTAGCTTGCTTTCTCGCTTTTCTCTCGCTCTCTGGTCAAATTAAAATAACAAATGGAATTAAATAAATAAATATATTTTTTAAAAGTAGCTTTAAGTAGGAGATTCCTACATGGCCAACTGCAGTTCAGTCCTGGACCTGGTAGCTTGCTTTCTCGCTTTTCTCTCGCTCTCTGGTCAAATTAAAATAACAAATGGAATTAAATAAATAAATATATTTTTTAAAAGTAGCTTTAAGTAGGAGAAAATATTTGAAACAAAGACTCATCTGTAGCATATAAAGAATTCTTCAAAATGAATAAGAAGAAGAATAAAAAAGACCGAGCAAGCACTCAAGAGCCCTTTACTATGGTTAAGTTTCATTTAATGTATCCCTCACACACACAAATGTACATATATTGAGGAAAGATCCTACATAGAACTTTGGTTTAACTTCTAATAAATGAGAAAACTAAAGCCCACAGAACCCTCAGGTTCAATAATTAGCTAGAATGGCTCACAGAACTCAGGAAAGTATTATACTTAAAATTGCAGTGTTATTATGAATGGTATTATGAATGGACCAGCCAAACAGACAGACACATAGGACCAGGTCTGGATGGGTCCTGAATACAAAGCTTCTGTGCCCTCTCTGTGTGAGATAGGATATATCACCCTCCCAGCACGTCTGTGTTCACCAACCAGGCACTTTGGTATTAGCATTTTATTGGTGTTTTATTACATAATCAGAATTGATTGAATCACTCACTGGTCATGTCATTAAACTCAGTCTCCAGCCAACCCCCTCCCCAGAGGTCAGGCTGATTCAAAGCCTCAGCCTTTTAATAACATGGCTGGTCTTTGTTATCTCTTAACATAAACTCAGATGTTATCCAAGGGTCTTATGAAAGACACTCCTATTCCTCAGAATATTCCAAGGATTTAGTTTTCTCCCAGGAACCAGGGTGAAAGGCCAAATTCTTTAATCAGCAGTAGCAGATTGAGTTTACTCAAAAGTCTGTAAACAGAGCCTGAGGGCTCCTCCTACTCTATCATTGGAAACTCTCTTCTCATGCTGACCAACTTCAGGGACTTTAAACATCTTCTGCTTCCTTCAACAGACCGAGCAAGTGGAGTAGCGGAGCCAGAATCCTCTTTCATACATGAGGTGAGGGTAGGGGGATACCGCTGGGTCTTTTGGTTTTCTGCTTGGGCCCTTGTAGTGTGACGGGGTGGAGAGCATAATTCTGAGTCACCCTGCCTGAGTTGGAATCCTACCTCTGTCACTTACTGAGCAATACTGAGTGAATTACTTAACCTGCCTATGTCTTTGTTTCCCCAACTGTAAAATGAGGATGTTAGAGACTGGTGGTAAGAAAGAACCGTAATAATTTCTGCAAAGAGCCTGGCACATAATAAGCACAGAAGTAGTTTTAGTTATTTTCTTAGAGGAAGGGTTTGAAGTTATAAAGTATTTTAGCTGAAAGAGACCTGGAGACCATGAAGCCCAACTGCATTGACTGATTTAGAAAACCAGTACTGGAGAGCAGATCGTTTGTCCAGGTTGCATCATAGAGGTTGGGAAAACTCAGAGCTAAGTTACCACCTCCTGACTTCCAGCCACGGCTTCTTCCACCACCCCATGCTGCTCTGTGTGCCAGACTTGTACTTGTTTCTACACTACTCTATTTTTTGGGGGGGAAGGGCGTGGTGATGAATTGATTGGTTTGTGAGGTTTTCCCTTGCTTATTTTAGTGTATTACGATGTCTTGTATTTGTAAACTGCAATCTGTTGTTGGAGCTAAGGAAAGTTACAGGGTGGACGAGAGCAGCCAGGCCTTCTAAGGCTCCTGTATACTTGAGTACATGTACATCAGCAGCTACATATCTGGGGACACCAGCTCATTAGTGACAGAGCTGGCTTCTGAACCCATATCCCCTGACGTAACTGCTGAGTTCACACCCTTCTTCCAAACTCTTCTGAACTTTAAGATTCTGTTTTTCTCTGAATATTGCAGTGATGCTTTAGGTCATTTAGAACTTGAAAAACTTTTCTAAAAATCTGATATTGGATTTTTTTCTCATAGATTTTCTTCCTGATTTTTGTTTTTATCTTATACAATAACCATATATTGAGTATATAGTCTAAACCAGGCATAAAATAACAAGCATACACATACACACACACACACACACACACACACACACACACACACAGGTTGAGCATCCCTAATATGAAATGCTCTAAAATCCAAAACTTTTTTCGTGCCAACATGATGCTACAAGTTGAAAATTTTATACCTGATGTTGTGTGATGGTTTGCAGTCAAAATACTACAATATAAAAATATCATATAAAATTTACCTTTAGCCTGTATGTATGGTATATATGAAACAAATTAATGTTTGGACTTGGGTCTCATTCCCAAGATATTTGAATATGTATATGCAGATATTCCTAAGTCTACAAATGTTCAAAATCCAAAATACTTCTGGTCCAAGCATTTTGGATAAGGGCTAGTCAAGATGTTTATGATATATATGGCAAATCTATATAATATAATATTTATGATAAATGTATATGTATGATTTCATTCAGTTTTTAAACCACTCTGACAAGTAGGTGTTATTATTCCTGTTGCACTGAGAAAACGGAGACTATAATTTCAATAAAATGTTTATGACTTGCTTTGTATTCATGGATTATAGATATAAGAAGCATGAATACTGACTGCTATGTCATGTAAAAATCATGGATGATGGGCCAGCCCTATGGCCTGTTGGTTAAGGAAAACAGACCCCACACATCCAACAGCATGGTTCAAGGTCCACGGTTCAAGTTCCACTGAGGCAAGACTCAGTGGCTCGACAAACATCCCAGGCATACCCCAAATCCAAACAGGATGGAAAAATGGAGTAGAAGAGATTGTAGCATCACCATTTTCCATGGGGAGTGCTTTCTCCCCTTCCCTCTCTCTGGCAAGCACATCTGCCCTCTGGCAACATTTTTTAAAAAATCATGAATGGCGGACCAGCAGTTGGCGCAATGGCTGTATCACTGGACTCCCATATAGTCCACCACAGTTCGAGTCCTAGACCCAGTGGCTTAAACTCATGCCGGGTGCTTGTGCGTGCATGCCCAGGACCCTGAGAGAAGAATGAAGGAGAAGAGATTGCAGTGTGGCCAGTCCTTCTGGGGGGTGACTTCTCACTTTCTGTCTTTCTGTCTCTCTCTGTCTTTCTGGCAAGCGCATGTGCCCTATGGCAAAAACCTCTCCCCCCCCCAAAAAAAATCATGAATAGCAATGAATTAATATTAATACAGTTCAATGAATTAATAACATTAATAGGTTTTTATTAATATTAATAGATTTAAATTTTTAATAATAATAGGTTTATTTTTGCTAAAGAACAAATACTGAATGTTAGATTTATACTATATGAACTTGCATATGTAACAACACTTATCAGGCCTTGGATAATTTTGTTTACCAAAAATGCTTTTAAATTTCTCCCCCTCCCCAAACATACACACAAGGACTCCTTATTGCCCAGCCACCTGTTATAAGCTAGACTGCACTGTCACTTTACCCCAGCTTACATGCTGCCACCACAGCATCATTCCATCCTTGTGTGCTTGTTGAGGCCCATGCAGGTGCCCACATGCAGTGAGAGAAGTACTGAAGTGAAGCTGGGCATCTAGGAACAGATACTAGTCTTTCTTCTTGTCTTTTAGATCCCTCTGGCATTTGAATGACAGTCACTGTGTTCTCCGAAGACCTTAGAATCTTCTTTTTCAAAAGATGAGGAGTCAGCATTTTGATCCCTGGACATTTGGAGCCAGCAGTGCCCTGCAGTGGCTTCAATTGCAGATGACAGTTGCAGCCATTTAGACACGGGCAGTAGCAGCCCTTGCCTTGGCTGCCATCTGCTTGTTTTGCGCATAGAAATTATTCGCAGGCATCTAAAAGCACCTTAGACTGGGACGAAGCTTGTCCCTGGGCAGTTCCGAGGCTGAGGCTGCCGTTATCCTGCCAGAACTTGCCCCAAACTGGGAGGGAGCAGTGTTGGTGCAGGGAGCGTGGACTGTGACGCCATATCTGTAACCACATTCTGTTTCTCTGTCCTAGGAAAGACTGCTGCATTTCCAAAGGAAGGGAAATTTTAGGACTGGCTGTCTCCTGGCCAGATCTCTCTGCTCCTTTGCCAGTCTCCTCCCACTGAGAGGGTGGAAAGGTCTGCACAAGTGGGGCCTGCCTGAGTGATCTGCTTCCCGAGTAAAACGCTCTTGATCCTAATTACATGCACAGCCCTGTGGATAAGGAGCCCAGAGGGGACATGTGCTTTCTGTTAAAACTGCTCTTGTCCTCATCTTTTCTTACCAAATTGCAAACTTTGTTTTCAAGGGGAGGGTTTAAAAATGAGATTCTGTAAACAAAACTGAGCAGTTTCATTTTGGAATAGGTTGTACACGTTCTAATGTTTCGTAGAACACTTGTGCCTGTTTAAATGTATTGATGTGGATATTAAATATCTTAATTATTTAAATAATTCATTGTATTGTTTCTGAAAAGTTGGGAAATTACTGTACACATTTACAACTTAATGACTTTTGTATTTTATTTTTCAAAATAAAAGCTTTAAATGTGAAGCATTCTGGTAGTTACATGTTTTTTTTTTTTTAAAAAGAATTGTTTTATTTAACTTTATTAATTTTATTTATTTATTTATTTATTTTAATTTGATCAGAGAGGGACAGAGTGAGAGAGAGAGAGGGAAAGTGAGAAAGCAAGTCGCCAGGTCCATGATTCAAACTGTGGTCGGCCATATGGAAGTCCAGCACCCTTAACCACCACGCCACCTGCCAGCCCCATTACATATTTTCATTACTGTGATTTCAGGGAAGCATCATTTTAACAGGTAGTGATCTGATAAAGTTTCTTCAGCTGGCTATGTTATAAATATTCCTCTCTAGAGAGACAAAGAGATATGTACCCCCCAACAGAGTCTCAGAATAAAATTTTTTTGAGAGGTTTTTGCTTTACGACACTTGCCAGAAAGAGAGACAAAGAGACAGAAAGTGAGAAATAACCCCCCTCGGGGGATAGCCACACTGCAATCCCTTCTCTTCCATTCTCCCCTTGGGATCTTGGGCATGCATGCACATGTGCCCAGCGTGAGTTTAAGCCATCGAGACTGGAACTTGAACCGCAGTTGACTACATGGGAGTCCAGCAACATAGCCATTACACCAACTGCTGGTCCCAGAAACATGGCCCTGTTCCAGTTTGTCTTCCAAAAGTTCATGTTTTAGAATTTGGTCTTTGTGGGCAGTAATTGGATTGTGGTGATTGGAACATGGAGGCACCAGTCTCATGAATAGATTAATGCAGTGTCATGAGAGAGCTAAGTGAGTTCTAACTCTTATAATAAAGAGTTCGTTCTCGGGAACCAGCAGTTAGTGTAATGGCAATGTCGCTGGATTCCCACGTAGTCGACCACAGTTCGCGACCCAGACCCGGTGGCTTAGAACTCACGCCGGGCACGTGTGCGTGCGTGCCCAAGATCCCGAAAGGAGAATGGAGAAGGGATTGCGGCGTGACCATCCCCCCTGGGGGGTGATTTCTCGCTTTCTGTCTCTATGTCTCTCTCTGTCTGTCTGGTGAGTGCACCAGACAGAAGAAAGAAGAAAGGATTGTGGCGTGGCCATCCCTGCCAGGAGGTTATTTCTCACTTTCTATTGAAGGACCAGAGTGACTCCAAATTTTTACGGGGCAACTCCATTTTGTTAAACCCACCCTGCTGAGAATCGGCGCCATTTCAAGGAGGCGAGCCAATCACATAGGAGAAGGTCTAAGACCATCATTCCACTGGAGCTGGCCAATGATAAAAAACAAAGGAAATACCAGAGACCCGAAGTAACTTTCTTGCCAATCAGTAAAAGACAACTCTGCTTCTTAAAATCTACGGCCAATGTATAGCCGCCTGAGTGCATTCCTCAGCACCCCTCCACCTGCCCCCACAACAGCTAAATAAAAACCCAGCCCAACTAACACTGGGGGCTCTCAACTCTGACCCTCTGTGTTGGTGACGATTGGGAGTCCTGGCTGGAGCCCAAATAAAGCGACCCTTGTGTGCTTTCATTGGAATCGGCTCCTTGGAGGTCTTTTGGGAATTTCGTGACCAGGACACATCATGTCTCTTGTCTCTCCAACGAGTACACATGCCCTATAGCAAAAATCTCTCAAAAAAATGAATAAAAGGAAAAAATATATAATAATAAATAAATAAATAGAGTTAGTTTTTTAAGAGACAGTTGTTATAAAAGAGAGAGCTGTCTGCAACTCTCACTCTCTGCACACTCCTCCCAAATCCCTCTGAGTGTTGGCCATCAACCCCTCTGGCTTGATGGTTCATATCTTTGGACTTTCTAGCCACCAGACTCACTCAGTCTTACGTATTTCTCTTAGCAGTGCCATAATGATCTTTCTATGGCTTACTGCTTCATTTAGAATAGAGCCCATACCCCTGCTATGACCCAGCCACTGTCCTCTCCTCTGCCTCATTGCAGAGCATTTCCCTCTATTTCTCTCTTGGGTTCTTTGCATTTTGTGGAACACACCAAGCTTTTCCTGCCTGTATGCATTTTACTCCTCTCCTTGGAATGCTCTTCTATTTCTCTTTGCCTGAGAGCCTCCTTCTCAATTCTCTGATCTCGGTAAGTTTCACTTTTCAGAGTTTCCCTGACCCTTTCAACTAAAAAATAGACTCCCGCTTCTGCCTACGTTCTTTCAGTACTTATCATACTCTGCAGTGTTAATGTTCATTGACTTTTTAATTGTCTGTCTCCTACACTGGACAGTAAGTTCCTGGAAGACTGAGTCTCTGTCTTGTCCATTTTTGTACCTTTGGCACCTAGCAAAGTGTCTGACACTTTCTAGGAACCAAGTAAAGAGAACTGCTTGGACCTGGCATTGGCACAGACACACTGTCAGGGGAAACTGAGAAGCCAGAGAGAGACTGGCATTCTCGGTGGCTGCAGGAGGAGCTTGGAGAGAGCATCAGCTGTGAAGGAAGAACCGTAGAATTTAGGACTGAGAGAAAAATGGCCCAAGCACGGTGGTACAGTGGTAGCACAACACCCTATAATGCTGGAGGATATATGGCAATTGGGGTTTGGGTCTCAGGGTGACCTGGTCATGCTGGACATGCACACATGTGCTCATGACCCTGGCCGACTGGGAAGGTCTGGAGGATGAGGGGAGGTGGATTGCTTGGTGTGAGACCTTGTTGAGGGTGTTTGTCTTTCTTTGTGTCTCCCTCATGAATAAGAGAGGGAGGGAAGAAGGGAGGGAGGGAGGGAGGGAGGAAGGGAGGAAAGAAGGAAGGGAGGCATCTAAAAAAATAAAAAAAGATCTTAGCAGGCCAGTCAGTGGTGTGGTATTTGGGGTGGCTAGATCCCATGTGGCTGGCTGTGCAGTTTGAATCCTGACCTAGTGAGATGAACAATAAATGGGGTATGTGTGTGTGCCCAAAATCCCAAGAAGAGAAGAGGAAAAGGGATTGCAGTATTTCTGGCCTCTCTTGGAGGGTGGGGGTGCCTTCTTTCTCTGTCTCTGTCTCTGTCTCCCTCCGGTCAGCACATGTGTCCTATAGCAAAATGGAAAGAAAAAAAGATCTTAATAATAATTTAGTCAAGGAATCACTCTGACGACATTGATCAAGAGCTTCTCTTGGTCCTAGGCCCCGTGCTAAGCACGTTACATGTTTAAACTCATTTAATTTTCACAATCACCCTCTGGTGCAGGCACTGTTACCTCCTACGTTTTACAAGATGAAGCATTGGCTCAGGGCTGTAAGGGGCCTTGCCCAGCTAGTAAATGACAGGGACTGCAGCCTGGCTCTGGAGCCCATGCCCTTAACTGCTGTTTTGCCTCTACCTCTAATAATCATCTTTGTTCAAGAATAGAAACTCATCATGAGTGCCCATCGACATCTTTTAAAGTAGCTCCCTCGTGCTTAGCGATTTAGTAGACGTAGTTGTGTGTTCTAAGTGGAAGCAGATTGCTGCTCTTAGGCCTTTATGATTTGGGAGCAAACCAAGGAAAACATGCATACAGCCCTCATTTTAAGTTCTCGCTAACAAAACTTACAGTATTAACCTACCAAAACCTGGCTGGTAGGTGATGGATACAATGGTATAGGCAAGGCTGCATTCAGGGTTGCCTCCACATCTGTACTTCTAGGGAGCTACAAAATCCTGCAGCTGGGCTGGCCAGTGGCCGGTGGCGTGGTGCACAAGGCAGCTGGATTTCACATGGTCAACTCTGTGGTTTCAGTTCCATCAGCTTGAAAACTATGCCAGGCATTTATGTTCACATGCCCCAAATCCTGAGAGAATGGGGGAGGAGGGGTTGCAGTGTGGCCACCCCCATGTGAGAGTGCCTTCTCACTTTACCTCTCTCTCCCTCTCTCTCTCTCTCTCACGTGTGCATGTGCCCGATAGCAATTAAAAAATAAATTAATAGAAAAGATTTTTAAAGTATCCTAAAGCTATCTGGACTTTTCTCCAGCAAAGTCAGTATTTTCAGGATTGAGTTGCATTGCCTGCTTGTTTGTCACTATTTAACACAGTATTCTACGGGGACTTTCTGTCTTTGCCTAAAGTAGAGCACTCCTTTAGTTATTCTGAATTGGGCAAAAGAGGTCATTTTTATTCCTTTTGGGTTTAAATCCTAACAAAGCCGTTCATTATTTGAGTGCTGGGATGTGTGTTTAATCTAGTTAGAAAAATAAATGACTTGTGTTTTCCCTTTAGGGTTTGCTGATTTTTACTGAAGATCCAAAATGGAATGATTTTCCCAATGACACCACTTTCTTTTCATGAAACCACTTTGTGACATACTGTTGAATATGCTCACGGCCTTGCCCTGAGGAAGCGAGCCTAAAATGCCCTCTGTCGGCCAAATGTGGAATGACTACTGAGTTTATGAATAAGTTTTAAAGTTGAAAGGAGTAAGGAAATAAATCATGAATGTTTTGAAAGCTTTCTCTGCAAACATGTCCATTCAAATGTAGTTTGTAAAAACAAAAACTGCAAGCAACCTAACAATAGAGGGGACTGGTAAAATGAATTATGGTACATCCTCATAAAAACTAATCAATAGGTACATTGTGGAAAAATATTTACTAACACAGAAAATGTTCATATTAAGTGAAAATTTGAGGTCACAAAGCTGTTTTGTGTTGTTCCACTTTTATTTTTTAAAGGCTAGATAGAAAAATAGAATCACAGGGACCAGCAGTTAACATAATGGCTATGTCGCTGGACTCCCACGTAGTCTACCGTGGTTCGAATCCCAGACCTGGTGGCTTAAACTCACGCCGGGCGTGTGTGCGTGCATGCCCAAGATCTTGAGAGGAGAATGGAGGAGAAGGGATTACAGCATGGCCATCCCCTCTGGGGGGTGATTTCTCGCTATCTCTCTGTCTCTGTCTGGCTAGCGCATGCGCCGTATAGCAAAAACCTCTCAAAAAAGAAAAGAAAAGAAA